TACATTTAGAGTTCTTTTGCTTATATCATTGTTTCTCAATCTTGACAACCTTAAGATGTTTGGACTTCAGTTCTGATTGAGGAATTCTGGGAGTTGAAGTCCACACATTTTTTTAAAATATGATTTTTGTTAGATCCGCGGAAGAACCAGTCTGAGGCGTCTGAGGTAACCGTAAGTTAACAGCTTTATTACAGGCAAGAACGAAGAACATAAGTAGACCGGCACCCTTCCTCCATCTGACAGCTTTTTATATGGCGCTGTCAGACGGAAGAACCAATAGCCGCGTGTATGACAGCCCGGCAACTTGCAGGACATGCCTAATTGGTTAAGGTGTGCCTGGCTGCTGCCAAGCTGTCATTCGTAAGTCCGAGGACTTACTCGGCTATAACACTCCTTCCCCCCCAGCGAGGCGCATGCGTCGGAGATGGCGCAGGCGTAGTCGCGCAAGTAGGAGGGGGGACAGTGGACACGCCCAGAACGCCGCAGTTGGAGAGGCGGCGCTGAAGAGTAAGGATGTCCCCGTGAGAGCTCCTGCCTGCGGGGAGTGGAGCTCTGGGTGACGTCACCGCAGCGGCCTAGCGGAGGAGGCGGCACCGCAGGAGGAGGTAGGCTGGGCGGAGGGGACGCGGTTGAGGATGGCGGCGAAGTAGGTGGCCTGGGGGTGGGCAAGGCCTCTGCGTAAGAGGCCTAACTGGGCGGAGAAGGGTAACGCGGGCTCGGGTTGAGAGGTGGAGAGAGGGCAGTCCGGGGGCGGAATCGACCCGGCAGCCCTGGCAGGTTGGCCTGGATCTGGGAAGGCCAGTGGAGGCGCAATGTGCAGCAACTGTTGCGGATCCGGGGCCAGTTGCGAGGCGTCGGTGGCCGGCCTCTGCGTGTCGCGTTGAGCTGGAACATCCGGGGGGTGGCGGCGCCTTAATTGATCCAGGTGGCGCCGCCACTCGCTGCCATCGGATAGGTGGACCCTGTAGGAGACGGGTCCGGTTACCTCAGTGATGGTGGCTGGCAGCCACCGAGGGTCCCCAGAGTAATTTCGAGCCCAGACCAAGTCCCCGGGGAAGAAGGAACGGCATGGAGGCCCCAGGTTGCCAGGCTGAATTCCTGAATAGAGGGGGTGTAGTCTATCCAGGGTGGTCCGCAGGCGACGACCCATCAGCAGCTCCGTGGGGCTTTGCCATGTGAGTGGGCAAGGTGTGGAGTGCTGAGCCATTAGGTAAGCGTCCACCCTTGCCTGCCAGTTGCCGCGGTCCATGCGGCCCAAAGCCTCCTTGCCCGATCGGACCGCCCTCTCCGCCCGGCCATTGCTGGCCAGATGGTAAGGGGCGACTGGTGCGTGGCGGATGCCTTGGGTGGCCAGGTATGACTGGAAGACTGCGGATGCGAATTGCGGGCCATTGTTGGACACCACTGTGTCCGGCAACCCATGGGTAGCGAACAAATGTCACAGAGCCCGCACCATACTCTCAGCTGTTGTGGAGTGCATGAGGACAAGCTCCACCCGGCGGGAGTAGGCATCCACAGCCACCAGGAATACCTGGCCAGGGAAGGGACCCGCAAAGTCAAGGTGAAGGCGGGACCAGGGCCCGCGGGGCATCTCCCACTCCCGGGAGGAGGAGGAGGGGGGAGATGGGTGGGACTCCTGGAATGGAACGCAATGGCCGACCCAAGCCTCGATCTCGGCATCTAGGCAGGGCCACCAAACATAGCTCCGGGCCAGCGCCTTCATGCGCACGATCCCGGGGTGATCGGCATGGAGCCGCTGGAGGA